AGCGACCGTAGTCACGGCCCAGAAGGATGCAGCAGGGGAGGTACTCTCCAGGCGCATGTGTGGGGATTACTGCGATCTGAACAAGTTCACTAAGGCGAACCGGTACCCCATGTCGACGCCAGAGGAGATATTCGATAAGCTGGTAGGGGCCGTGGTATTCACAACGCTGGATCTGATGTAGGGCTTCAACCAGATCTAGATCAGGGAGGAAGATCGCGCCAAAACCACGTCCACTGCGTGGATGGGCTCTGGGAGTGGAATGGGATGCCGTTCGGGATGCGGAACTCATCAGCCTTCTTTCAGCAAGTGATGGACATCGTGCTGAGGGGCATCGGCTTCGCAGCCTGCTATATTGATAATGTCGTCATCTTCAGCAAAGACCGTCACACATGGCAGATGTGGAAAAGGTGTCGGGGGCAATCATGAACGCGGGTCTGACATGCCACCCGAGCAAATGCATATTTGGAGAAAACACAGTGAAGTATCTGGGGTTCGAAGTGTCGGACGGGGCCCTCTCCATTCAGGAGGCGAAGGTGGCGGTTCTTGACAAGGTAGCGGTGCCGGCAGATCGGAGTAAGCTACGGACGATTCTGGGGTTCCTGAACTATTATAGGAAATTCGTCCCCAACTTCAGCAAGAGGGCGAGCGCCCTGAACCAGCTCCTAAAGGAGAGCACGGCGTGGAAGTGGGGCGAACAGGAAGATGCAGCGCTGAAAGACCTGCTAGGGGCGGTCAAGACGCGACCGGTACTCATCCTGCCAGAGAGAGACCAGCCCTTCGTGCTATACACGGACTGGAGCAGCCTGGGGATGGGAGCAGTGCTGTGCCAATAGACAGAACGGGGAGAGAGGGTCGTGGCATTTGCCAGCAGAAGCTGCAGCCTGACCGAAGCCAACTACAGCTCATACGAAGGCGAGGGGCTGGCGGCAGTGTGGGCAGTAGACCACTTCCGCGTGTATCTGCAGGGCAGCCCGTTCACCCTGGTGACCGACCACCAGCCCCTGACGTGGCTGATGACGAACCAGATGCTCATCGGAGGAATGCGAGGTGGGCGATGCGGCTGCAGGAGTACGAGTTCAGGATACGGCACCGACCGGGAAAGACACTCCAGCATGTGGATGGGCTGTCAAGGAACCCACCCCCGCCGGAGGGAGGCTCGCCGGCAGTCTGCCTCGTAGCGTTGGCCAGCGGAATACAGGCAACAGAGGAAGCGAAGCATCGAGGGAAAGGGCTCGAAGACGTCTGGGAGGACGCAGCCGTATTGCGGTGGGTGAAATGGGTGACTGAGGCAGAGGAGGACGTGGGAGAAAGGGCGAGGGTACGGGGCCGTCACTATCGATGGTATCAGCAGCAGCTGCACGTGGACTCCAAAGACGGCTGGAAACGGGTGCCAGCACCAGAGCTACGGAGGGCTCTCATAGAGAAGGTGCACGCTCAGCTGGGGCACTACGGCCATGTGCGAACAACGCAACTACTGACCACTGGATGGTGGTGGGCAGGGCTACAGAGGGACGTGAAGGAGGTCGTGGCGGACTGCGAGCTGTGCATCCGAAACAAGGCGACCCCGGAAAGGGAGCAGCAAGAGTTATAGTCACTCCCCATTCGCGGGCTGGGGTACTGGTGGTCGCTCGTCCTGGCGGGGGAGCTGCCACTGAGCCGCAAGAACAAGCGCTACGTGCTGATGATGATCGAGCACGTCTCCAAGTGGGTGGAAGTGAGGGCGCTGAGCAGCAAGAGCGCCAAGCTGATCGCGAAAGCATTTACCGACCAGGTTCCCACGCACTTCGGAGCATGCGGGGAAGTACTGACCGACCAGGGCACGGAACTCAGAGGAGCGTTTGACCAACTGCTGAAGAGGGTGGGTATCATGCACCGCCGTACCTCAAGGTACCACCCACAAGCGGATGGGCTGACCGAGCGGATGGTACAGACGATCAAGAAGGGTCTCCGTGCCTACGGGGAGGAGCACAAGAGGGACTGAGATCAAGAGCTGCACTAGGTCGCGGCAGAATACCGGTTCAGCAAGCAAGCCGCACTACTCGTCGTACTACCTACTGTACGGGAAGGAGCCCATGCTGCCCGTGAACGCCCCGAAGGTGCTGACCGAAATGGTGAGGGGCGGAACCCCTGAGAAGTGGGCCGCGCTGGCGGACTGCTGAGCCAGGTACCTGAAGAAAATTATGCCAGCGGCACTCGAGAAATTGCACACAGCGCAGCTGCGGGACGCAAAGAGGTATCAGCAGAGGCTGCTGCAGACCGGAAAGGGGACGGGCAAGGCAGTGAAGAATGGCACGGAAGTGTACATCCGGAAGGCAAAGAAGGATACCCTGGACGTAGGGCTGTCGACAGAACGCTGGGTGGTGAAGGAAGTAAAGCCCTCAGGGGTGCTGGTGCTAGAGTCAGAGGAAGGCAAGCAGCGTGATGATCACGTGACTAATGTGGCACGGGCGACAGGAAGCAAGATGGAGGGGGTTCCTCACGACCAGCAGCAGGAGCCGAGCAGGTAGCGGAAGGGGGCAAGTGGGTAGTACGGTTGGAGGAGCATGGGCCTAAGGAGGGAAACTCGGGAGCAGAAGGAAAAAACAAAAAGGCCAGATAGCAAGAGAGTGAAGAAGGGGGAACAGAGGAACTGTGGAGCAAATGGGAGGGTAGGTCACCCTCGTCCCTTAAGCAGGAGAGCAGAGGAAGTGAGGGCCTATGGCATCCGACACCAATCCAGTCCAATCCAATCCAATCCAATCCAATCCAATCCAATCCAATCCAATCCAATCCAATCCAATCCAATCCAATTCAATCCAATCCAATCCAACCCAATCCAATTCAATCCAATCCAATCCAATCCAATTCAATCCAATCCAATCCAATCCAATCCATTCCATTCCATTCCAAGCCAATCCATTCCAATCCAATCCAATCCAATCCATTCCAATCCATTCCAATCCAGTCCGGTCCAATCCATTCCAATCCATTCCAATCCAATCCAATCCAATCCAATCCAATCCATTCCATTCCATTCCAATCCAATCCATTCCAATCCAATCCAATCCAATCCAATCCAATCCAATCCAATCCAATCCAATCCATTCCAATCCATTCCAATCCAGTCCGGTCCAATCCATTCCAATCCATTCCAATCCAATCCAATCCAATCCAATCCAATCCAATCCAATCCAATCCAATCCATTCCAATCCAATTCATTACAAGAAGCCTGTAGGCCACTACAACCCTATGGGAGGCAACTTCATGAATGGCCCCCCACCAGCCCTGTGTTGTGTCCGGCACATGAGCAGGAATAGTCAGCATGCACAGTGAAGGAAAGTGGGGCGACACACACAGACACACGCACACGCACGCGCACGCATGCATGCACGCACCCACACGCACCCACACGCACCCGCACGCACCCGCACGCACCCGCACCCACCTGCACCCACCTGCACGCACCCGCACGCACCCGCACGTACCCACCCGCCCACCCACCCACCCACCCACCCACGCACGCACGCACGCTTGCCCGCCCGCCCGCCCGCCCGCCCGCACGCACGCACGCACGCACGTACGCACCCACCATCACACGCACGCGCACGCGCGTGCGCGCGCGCGCACACACACACACAAACACACACACACACACACACACACACACACACACACACACACACACACACACACACACACACAAACACAAAGCGTTCCTCCATGGTGATAATTGCTGGGCACAACTGATGTGTCAGATTGCTTCAAGCGACCGTAGCATCACGGTACAGAGTGTTGTCAAATTCACCCATCTGTACCCAATTAGGCAAGCCCTGACCGCGGCTTGTATGGTACTCAAAACATGGGGCAACAAGACAGACGTTCCTTTGTAAGCCCCACCCACCCACCCACCCACCCACCCACCATACTGGTGGTGTATTCCTCAGAATTTGGATGCATGCTCAATACAGCATCAGCATTACCACATTCACGTATCCTTTCCCAAGCCTTTTCCGGTAAAGCTAAACGTGTTTCATGCACCCAAAACTCGGAAACAAACGAAGGCCAATATGGTAGGACCAGAACTGCAGGCTTGAGAATTGCTCGCTGCATGACACGCTTATTTCGAATGAAGCCAAACGAGCAGGGCTGAGGGAGCGTGTGAAGAGGGGCCTGTAAGAGAGAAGAGGGGCCTGTAAGAGAGAAGAGGGGCATGTAAGAGAGAACACGCCCTGAGAGGCTGGGCGATGCCGGGACCAAGGGGTTGCGGCGATGCGGTACGAGGGGGTGGAGATGCAGTACGAGGGGGTAGAGATGCAGTACGAGGGGGTAGAGATGCAGTACGAGGGGGTAGAGATGCAGTACGAGGGGAGGGGGTAGAGATGCAGTACGAGGGGGTAGAGATGCAGTACGAGGGAGGAGAAACAGAATGAGGGATACAGAGGGGGGGGGGGGGGCGGGGGGGGTGTGGAGATGCAGTGATGGGGGGAAGATGCAATGAGGGGGGAGGGAGAGGGAGGAGATACAGAGAGCAATAAAGTCAGAGTAGAGAGTGGGGGAGAGTGCATGGGCTTGAGAGGAGAGCATGGTGCGAGGAGGGGGAGAGGAGCGAATGGTGCGAGGAGGGGGAGAGGAGCGCATGGTGAGAGGAAGGGGAGAGGAGAGCAACGAGTTGCGAGTGATGTCCGAGAGGAGAGTAGAGGAATGAGAGCGAGTCAAGGCCACACAAGTACCGACTTCACATTCTTCTCCACCTGCTCCTCACTCACCCCCCCGCCCCTCTCCCTCTCACCCCCCCGCCTCTCTCCCTCTCACGCCCCGCCTCTCTCCCACTCACGCCCTACCACTCCCCCACTCACGCCCCGCCACACCTGTGCGCCATAGCCAGTGCTCATCCCTGGATGCAACAATCCAGCACACGCCCTTCACCTCCCTCCGCTCCTAGCGCCCTGCCTGCTGCCACGTGCCTCCTCCCGATCCTCCCGCACCCCTCTTCACCGCTTACCCTGCCAGGCTCCCGCCCTCACACCTGCCTGTGCGGCCCTGCCCCCCTCGTCATCACCTTCTCATGCCCTCGCCACCCCAACGCCTCTCCTAGCCACCTCCCGTCATTTCCCTGCCTCGCGTCCATCTGCTGCCTCGAGTCCATCTGCTGCCTCGCGTCCATCCTCGCGTCCATCTGCCCACCGGGATGCCACCCCCTCGCCCACCCCCTCGCCCACCCCCTCGCCCACCCCCTCGCCCACCCACTCGCCTTCCACCCATCCCCTTCCACCCATCCCCTTCCACCCATCCCCTTCCACCCATCCCCTTCCACCCATCCCCTTCCACCCATCCCCTTCCACCCATCCCCTTCCGCCCATCCCCTTCCGCCCATCCCCTTCCACCCATCCCCTTCCACCCATCCCCTTCCACCCATCCCCTTCCACCCATCCCCTTCCACCCATCCCCTTCCACCCATCCCCTTCCACCCATCCCCTTCCACCCATCCCCTTCCACCCATCCCCTTCCACCCATCCCCTTCCACCCATCCCCTTCCACCCATCCCCTTCCACCCATCCCCTTCCACCCATCCCCTTCCACCCATCCCCTTCCACCCATCCCCTTCCACCCATACCCTTCCACCCATCCCCTTCCACCCATCCCCTTCCACCCATACCCTTCCACCCATACCCTTCCACCCATCCCCCTCCGCATTCCCCCACCGTTTCCTCTCCCCACCCCCCCGTGTTTTGGCATGAATGTGCGCGTCTCATTGAACCGTTCGCCATCCACGTGGCTGGCATGCTGTCACTCTGCACGTCCACCTCCCACCATTGCTGCATGCATCCACCATTGCTGCATGCATCCACCTGCATGCACCCTGCATTGCTGCATGCATCCACCATTGCTGCATGCACCCACCATTGCTGCATGCATCCAACATGCGCTCTTCCATCGTCTAGTACCCTCCTCCCCTCCTACCCTCCTCCCCTCCTTCCCTCCTCCCCTCCTACCCTCCTCCCCTCCTTCCCTCCTCCACTCCTCCCCTCCTCCACTCCTCCCCTCCTCCCCTCCTCGCCTCCCCTCTCACCCATCCAAGCACCCACTTATACGCCTGCCTCTGCGTCCACCGTCCCTTGGTGCGCCCCTCATGCTCCCCATCTCCCACGCGCACGTCTCCCCGCGCCCTAGCCTCATCAGCCCACGCGTGTCTCGAATGCCGCCATGCTGCCACGCACGCCTCATACTCCCAACCTCTGCTCCCCCCCTCACCTCTTTCTTCCCACCCCCCCTCCCCTCTTCCCCTCTCCCCCGCAACCTTCTCTCGTCTCATGTGTCCGCTCACCCTCACCTCGCGCCACACGGATGAATGCCGCCCATCCATTCATCCACGTCATCGCCTGCGGCTTTCCACGCCACGTGGATGCTTTGCTCCGAGGCGCCCCGTAGACGCGCGTCGGTTGGCGTTTACCTTCCCCCCATCCCCCTCCGCCATCCTCCCACGGATTCCCCCGCCCCATTCTTGAAAACACCGCTAAAAGACAAGTGGATGCCGACCAGTATCAGGATGCAGACAACGCATGCCGCCCCCACGATGGCGAGCGCGAGCGCGGTGGGGTGCATGCGCGGCGCGCCGAGGATGGCGGCGAAAAGCGACCCGCGGGAGGCGGGCTTGCGCCCATGCGCGGAGATGTGCGCCGCTGCGGATGGAGGCGCTGGTTGCAGCGACGCGGAGGGGGACTGGTGTTGGCGCGGCCGGCGCTTTGCGGTGCTGATGGGTGCGGCGCGGTGCACACGGATGTGAAGTGGCGAGGATGACATGGCGGCGGGGACGGAGTCTCGTGTGCTCGGCAACGGGAAACCCGCGCGCTGGCCACGAGGAACCCGTACACGTGGAGCCCGTCCAGGCACCCGCTGCAGTGCGCGGCTCGCTTGAGACGAGCGAGGAGTCGAGCGATGCGAGGAAGCGACGAGCGAGGCGCGCGCTTCACGGGGTGTCGACACCGCGGCTTGTGAGTGAGCGATACAACAAGTTAACCTAAGATGTTGGCAAAAGCGGTGTGCTCTGGTCGTGAAAGAATGGACGCGACGAGTCGTATCGGGTACGAGGAGTATGTAAGCCGAATGAGCGGCGAGGCGTGGATTTGACTCGACCGTCACCTCGTGAAGCCCGGCGACGATACGAGAAACAGCAGCGCTGCAGTGGGCGGGATCGTAATCGCGGATGGCAGAGCTGGTAGTGGGATAGGCGAGGGAGGGAGAACGAGTGATAAGATAGAGCTGCTGATGGCGAAATTCTCAAGACAGTTAGTGCCAGGAGCTCTAGAACGCAGGAGTTGACGCACCATACCAAATTCCATCCGTTGCATTGCAACCTCAGCAGCGACAAGAGATGGTTGCTGTTTGGGCCAAACTTTCGTTGTTACCACTCTTGGCGAAATCATGGAGTCGCTGGGGAGGCACCTGCTGCCTCCTCGGCGAAGGTTGCACGCATGACAATCCTCAGCCACTCTCTGGCTTGCCGTGGCGAACATTTCCACTTGCTGATCAGTGCGCGAGTTCGCGAACACGACGTCAGATCTGATGAACCTCGTCGTTCACTCGTGCCACCCTTAGCTGGTTACAACGCTTCGCACCGTCCCCCACGGTGACCGCAAATCCCGTCGACAATCATGAAGCATTTAAAAGCGCGACTGCCATGCTACTATCGATTTTAGGCATGGACGACGCGCGACGATCGATCGTGAGAATGAACACGACGTGTCGATCCACATAAGCACGCCTGCCACGTGTCGGTCGCTGCGTGTCGTCTAGATCGACTTGTCGTGTCCGACTGCTCACCGCCGCGCTTACCCGTCCTTTCGGAGACGCACTTCTGCTGACGCGCCTCCCTTCGTCGCTCGCAATTCACCATACCCGCTAATGGCATCCGCCTCTAACGCGTACAAGCACGACAAGGCCCTGCAGGCGGCACACCAGCAGCAGCTCAAGGCGCTCCTCCGCGCGCCGGGCAACGAGTCGTGCGCCGACTGCGGCGGCCGCTTCCCACGCTTCGCGTCGGTGTCGCTGGGCGTGTTTCTTTGCAACCGGTGCTACGGCATCCACCGCGGCATCGGCGTGCACGTGACGCGCACCAAGTGCGTCGAGCTCGACGCGTGGAGCCACCGCGAGGTCGCCGCCATGCGCGCCATGGGCAACCGCCGCGCTGCCGCCATCTGGCAGGGTGAGACCAGGGAGGGTGAGACCGGGGAGGGTGAGACCGGGGAGGGTGAGCGGTGGGAGGGTGAGAGGTGGGAGGGTGAGAGGTGGGAGGGTGAGAGGTGGGAGGGAGTCAAGATTGAATTGTGATGGGGTTCACTCTGCTGTTGCTTCGTAGCATTCACTTCCGCCCCACTCCTCCGCCCTCCTCTCTCGTTCTCCTCTTCTCTCGCCTCCTGCGCCTTCCACCCCCCTGAAACGTTGCTTTCCCCTTGTGTTCTCCTTTCCCCCTCTTCCCCCCCCCCCTCTCCTCCTTTCCCCCTCTCTCCCGCCCCTCGCTTCTCCCCCTCGCTCTTCTTTCTTTTCTACCCTTCTCCGCATTTTCTGCCACTTCTCGCCCATATCCGCTTCTCTGTGGTCCCTCCCTCCACTTCCACCCCTTGTACCCCTCTCCGCTCCCCTTCTCTCCACTCTCACACCACACTTGCTAAATCCACCCCTCACCCTGCCGACCAGACCAGGGTGAGAGCCCCCACATGAGTGTCAATGAATGCCTTGTGGTGCGCCGCACGAGTCCGCTCGCTGCTGCTGCCACTCCTCCCTTGCCGCACGCTCCCTGCCACCTGGAGCGACAGCGCACACATCACATGAGCGCCAGTGGATTCGTTGGGGGCTCTTCACCAGTGCTCCCAGTACTTCCCCTTTACCCCTCCCCCACCACACGCACCCTGCCAGCAGGAGTGAGGGCGCCCACATGGGTGAGGGCTCTTCCAATGCCCATGTGCTATCCTTCCCCTCCCCCCTCGCCGCAGGCTCGCTGCCAGCGGGAGTGAGGGCACCCACGTCAGCCTCATCGGATGCCGAAGTGGAGCGGTGGATTCGAGACAAGTACGAGCGCCGCCTTTCCACAACCCCGCTGCTGCTGCTGCTGCTGCTGCTGCATCTGCCACTGCGGCTTCGCCCGCCACTGCCTCCCCTCCCTCCACCACCCCATCCACTCCGTGCCCCGCCTTCCCACACGGCCCCGCCGACTCAACCCCGCACTGCTCTCCCGCCTGTCCCCCACAGCCGACCTCAACGCCCCCACCCACTGTCGTAGTGCCACCCAGTGCTGTGAGTGCGAGCAGCACAGGCGGCATGGCGCATGCACGGCAGGGCGTGGATGCGCTCAGCTCAGCCCGCCTCATGCATCCACCCCCCGCCACCACAGCAGGCCGTGCAGCCCATCACGAGCAGCACACCCTAACAGCTGCTGGGGTCCCTGCAGGGCAGACGGGCCATGCTGCTGCTGTTGGCTCTGGAAGCAGCAGTATCGGCAATGTTCTTTCAGTATCAGGCGCCGGCAGCAGCAGCAGCATGGATCTTGGCCCAAGTAAGCAGGCAGCTGCTCCTCCAGATCTAATTGATTTCTCTCAGTGGTAATGTCAGGGCTGTTGGTCTACATGAACGTGACAGATGTGGTTGTAAGGTTCTTGTCAGAAAGCTGTGTTTTCAATTAATACTACGAGGAATATTTTGTGAAAACCGACCACCATAATGGCAGTGTCTCTGTGCTTCGCGATCAGGTTGTTACGAGCAGGATTGAAACTACCTACCGTGAAAATGTGTAAGGGTAATCCACATAAATTGTTTGGCACAAAAAAAGACTTGGATGTGTCTTGTGTATATACCTTGGTGGAGCCCTTCCTATGCGTTTTATGTAAGACTTCATTTCCTGGACACTTGCTTCTAAGTTGTCCACAAACGAGTACAATCTACACCCCGCCGAGCTGGTTTCATAACACTCGAATCGGACGACCAGCCGTGCCAGGCACGGCGCCGTGTGACGCGCCAACGGGGCACTTCCGCAAGCGAGGCTGGCCGCGTCGTGGTATGTGTGGTTCCGCCAATTCTCCCCGCACTGCGCAGGTCAAAACTGTCAAGGCGGTGGGGACGAACAGCAGCGAGACGGAACATTGCGCGGGGCACCACACCAACCCCCTTGGCGCGTTGCGAACGGGAGGACCTGGAATGGCTTCGAATTGTTACCGAACTGCACCACCATGTACTAAGCTGCAACGAGCGATACACCTATCTGGAACTCGTGCCTCCCCCTCTTCGATCCACCACAGTTTCCCCAGTCGGACCTTAGGAACTCCGGTGCGTGTCAACTCGGTTGGCATCTCCCGCGTTCATTCGTTGCGTTGCGCTTCAAAGCGGAAGCTACTCATACCACTGTTTACCGTGCGGGAAGTCGATTTACCGCACAGAGACAACAGACGATGGGGGGGACAAAGCACGCGGAGTTACATGGAGGTGTTGTGGGAGTTGACACGATGACTCCACGACACACCCTGCTGTTCAGCTTTTTCAAAACACGCCACTAAGCAAACACAATCTCACTAGTCCCCGACGAGCAAGACGGTCTTACCTTAACTTAAGACACTTAAATATCTAGAAAGCATCACCTCGGGAAAGATGTTAACGCAAACTTGGTGCGATTCGTTTCAATCGCTTCGTCGCTCGATTGGACTACATTCGTAGAAGACTCGTCAGCAGAAACGTGCATATATTGTCTGTTCGTACCCCCTCCGATTTAGTTAGGATAGCGCCTAGGTTACGTATTACTGTTCAGACTCCCTTGCGGCGCGAGGACTCCACCCGCGTTAAGGTAACACTCGATCAATTTCACAGCTTTCCCTCTTTCTTCGTTTCTTGCGTCGCTCTCGCCCATCCCCGCCCATGTCACTCGCCGTCGCCCTCCATTCGCCTGTCGTCACTTGCGTACTCGCTAATTTCCCGCCCCACCCTACTCTGTGCCCACTCAACGCCACTCTCTCTCAACTCCACGCGGCTTCACTCAACCCCATCTTCACCCTTACTCCCCCTCATGCTTGCGCAATTCTCCCCCCCTTCGTCACCCCAGCCCTCCCCCTCCGCGTGCTCCCCCCGCCATGGGGAACTGCTTCTCCACGCCGCCGCCGTCGCCCAGAAAGCCCCCGCAGCAGCAACCGCAGCCGCGCGCCCCGCCTCCGCCGGCCGCGCGGCCAATCCCCAACGGTCACCCGCCTCCCGCGCCGCCGCACGCCCCGGCGCCGGCGCCACAGCCCGTGTCGCCGAGGCAACCAGGTGCGGCTGCCCCGCGCTCGCGCTTCTGCTCGTCGAACCCTCCCGCTCGCGTTATCCGGTCCCACTCCATCCACCCTTCCCACCCCCCTGCACCCCCCTCCCCCCCCCAACCCCTCCTTCGATCTCGTTGCAACTTCCATTCCGCCTGACCTCGTACGCGCGACCCCTCTGGCCCCGTTCTTGCACGCTTGGTGTGAAGCGCCACAGTCCTCTCCTCTCAACCCCACCCGCACCACACCCCGCCTTCCTCTCTCTCTCCTCGCCTCCCGTACCCCCTGCCCCCTACCGCCTCCCGCGTCCCCTCCTCCCTGCCCTGTCCCCCAGCAGCGCCCCCGCCTCCCCCAGCGGCAGCGGGCGGGTATCCCCTGCTCAAGTCCCTGGCGCCAGGCGTGGCATCGCAGTACAACTACCAGGAGGTGCAGGCCGCCACGCACTCCTTCTCCACCCACTCGCAACACCTCTCACGCGCCTCAAAACTCTCTCTTCTCTCTCTTTTCCCTCCGCTTCCCTCTCTTCCCCCTCCCCCGTCCCCCCGCCCGCGTCCCCCCTCCCCACTGGCCCTCCTCTCAGCAGCGCCCCCGCCCATCCCTGCCGCAACAGGCGGGTACCCCCTCCGAAAGTCCCTGGCCCCAGGAGTGGTATCGCAGTACAACTACCAGGAGGTGCAGGCCGCCACTCAGTCCTTCTCCACCGAGATTGGGCGCGGCGGCTTTGGCGTGGTGTTCCATGGGCGGCTGGCGGACCCCCAGGGCGGCCCGGCGCACGAGGTGGCGGTGAAGCTGATGGCGGAGGACCACATCACCAACGGCATCGACAGCTTCATTGTCAGTGCCACGTGCCGCTCGGCATTGCATGCACATGCACATGCACATGCACATGCACATGCACATGCAAGCGCGCAGGCACACAGACACACCTGAGGAGGGTGACACAGGAAACCAGGGTGGGATGTGAAGTTGAATAGGGCACTTTCGCTGTGCGCCTTCATTCCCACCATCCTACCAGCTATCTCCCTGCGGCCTGCACTGATCTCCGCCACGCCCATTCTCCCCACCCATCATCGTTCCCCTCGCGCCCTGTCGCGTTATTAACACTTAGCTGGCAACTAAGTGTGAATTCCACAGCAGCCAAGGTGAGGTGTACTATAGTTTACTGCTTTTTGCATTTTACTTTGTTTGCTCTTTTTGGAATGTTACTGTACTATACAGAGTCGAGCTACTGAGGAGTTCGAGGGGGTTGGTGAGGAGGATGGGGGCGAATTCGATTCCAGCCAGCCTGGGAATTCAATTCGACATTCACAGGCTGGAAGGCGGTGCATGCCTAGTGGGCCCAGTGGGACCCAGCTAGCACCTTGAAGCCTACGCGATCAGCTCGGCTGACTCGCGCTTAGGAGTAGAGGTAGCTTGCGGGACAAGGCACCTAGGCAGGAGAGGATGTAGACGGGAGTAGTGCTCAGACTCATTGCTTTTTGCTTGTATGTTTCTCATTTACTGCAATTGTGATTTCCTAATCCACGGGGAACTAGCAGTAGAGAGGAGCTGAAGCAAATCGGCGGAGCCCTTGCGAGGGAGTTAAGTCTTGTTTCATACAAGCAAAAAGGGTGGTCAGGATTACGATTGTTGAGAGTAGAGGTGGCAGGATCTACTGCCTAGAGTTGCTCGCGGTGATGCACCGTGAGGAATGAGTAATTTTGACCGCGAGCTTCACACTCATCAACTGCGCTCTGGACACCGATTCCCGGCGAGGATGATGGAGGGACGTGATCCGTCGGTCAGGATGCCTGGATTTCGGGCAGGCGAAGGAGGGACGAACCCACGCGGTAACCAAGGCGGGGATCGGGAGGAAGAACGAGGTGTACACGGAGAACAACAGCCGAGCTCGGCATGCGACTCGCCCGCGGAGGGGAGCGGAGGGCGACCTGTGGGGAGTGGATCTCGCCGAGGGAATCCAGATCTGGGAGGAGACGATCCACATGAAGATCAACGGAGTCAGAAGGGAGGGGAAGATCATCGAGAAGAACGGCGGAGTCTGAGAGGAGAAGATCAACGAGAAGAAAGGCGTAGTTTGAGGGGAGGAGACGATCAATCGGAGGAACGACGAAGTCAGCGAGGCGGGGAAGCATATCACGGATTCTCTGCCGGAGGATACGAAGCCACGGAGGCCGGGAGAGCAGGGCGACCTGCAGGGAGTGGAGAACGAGGGAACACAAGCTGGGGGACAGGCAGGTCGATGAGTATTGCACCACCCAAAATTGAGGTACCAGACCGCTTCTCGGGGGCACCTGGAGAGGAGCCCACGCTGAAAAACTACCTGATGATGATTGAAGACATTCGCTACTGCTGGGACAGGGAGCGACTGGATCCTATCGAATTTTTCAGAGGCTTGGGGAGGACTCTCAAAGGAGAGGCATTGACTCATTACCGTGTGGAGAGGCAGGGGCTGCTGATGCGGAGCAACAGAGGAGATATCTTACCGGCAGAGACTACGGACCGTTTCTTGGATAGCCTGCAGGAGCAGTTCCCGGGGCATTCGGCTGACCGGATGGCGGAGTTTCAAGACTTCATAAGAGCGCCGGCAGAGTCGCTGTTGGCCTATTATAACCGTTTACTGGAGCTGGCAGAGGATATGGGCTGCGTGGAGGAACGCATCCTAGTGACCAAGTTCGTCAACGGACTGGATGGGGACTTGATACGAGACATGAGAAGCCGACTATACTCCTTGGGGGTACGGGCGAAGCTGCGACAGGTGTACCAGGTGGCGAAAGAAGTGGAGGATGGAAAGAGGTTCTTCGAAGGAATGAGGGGGTCAAGCTCCAATCGGCCGAGCGAACGTAGGAGGCCTGCTTGGGCAGCGGTGGAAGGGAGACAGGGGGAAGAGGAACGAAGAGGGAGGCCGTCTGAAGATAGACGCAGGTGTTACAAGTGCGGCGAAATGGGGCACGTGCGGAAGGATTGCACCATAGACATAGTGTGCGATGTCAAACATTATATGTTTGTGTGGTTCTAGGCTGTAGTGGGTCACACCATAAGGGGGTACACCAGTTTAGGGTTTCATATTTGTACTGTTGTTCCTGCTAGTCACATTCATTCCTGTTTCTCATTTTGACATGGTATTACGAGCCTAGGTTCCACCTAGGACCGGAACGTTAGGGCCCACCGTTTCCGCTAGCCGCGCCCTCGTGCGCCGCCTTTTCCTAGCGCCCTCGTGCGCCTCGTTCCTAGCGTCGCCCCTTCAGGCCCCTCACGGCCCCTCGCGTCGCCCCTTACGGCCTCTCACGGCCCCGTCTTAAGACCCCGCGCTAGCCCCTTAAGGCCCCGCGTCGGCCCCGTGCTAGCCTCTCACGGCCCCCTATGGCCCCGCGCTAGCCCCTAACGGCCCCGTGTAGCCCCGCGCTAGCCTCCCACGGCCCACCTACGGCCCCGCGCTAGCCTCCTACGGCCCCGATTGGCCCCGCGCTAGCCTCGAACGGCCCCGTGCGGCCCCCGCGCTAACCTCCCACGACCCCGTAAGGCCCCGCGCTAGCCTCCCACGGCCCCTTCATACCCCGCGCTAGCCTCCCACGGCCCCTTAAGGCCCCGCGCTAGCCTCCTACGACCCCCAAATGGCCCCGCGCTAGCCCCGACCGGCCCCCGAACGGCCCCTCCCACGCTCGCCCCTCTACGTCCGAGCCGCACAGCGCGACCCCAGCTGCACCGCGCGACCCGAGCCGAACCGCGCGACCCAGCCGAGCCGCGCCGCCCCAGCCGAGCCGCGCCGCCCTAGCCGAGCCGCGCCGCCCTAGCCGAGCCGCGCCGTCCTAGCCGAGCCGCGCCCTCCTAGCCGAGCCGCGCCCTCCTTACCTGAGCAGCAGCACCACTACTGCTACTGCTACTGCTACTACTACCGCTGCTGCTGCTGCTACTGCTACTGCTACTGCTACTTCTGCTACTGCTACTTCAGCTATGGCTAGCCCTCCAGTTCTCTCGTTCGATGCTGAGGGCCGCCCGATTAAGTTTGAGACCTGGCTCAATGATCTGCACCTGTTCCTCCAGCTCACTGCCAGAGAGGATATCTCAGTGTACGATCACGCACTAGGCACAGTCCCTCCTCCTGCTACTACTGCTACTGCTACTGCTCGCTCACAGTGGCAGACTCGCGATGCCCACGCCCGCTTTGCTTTTCGCAACTCCCTGCCAGTCGACGAGCGCGAGCACTTTGGCCAGCATCAGACTGCGCAGGCCCTGTACACTGCTGTAGTTGCGCGCTACTCCTCCCCGGCCTCAGCTGCACTAGGCCGCCTCTCGCTTCCCTACCTGTTCCCCGACCTGTCCGCCTTCCAGACAGTCGCTGAACTCATCACTCACCTCCGCACTAGTGATGCCCGCTTCCGTGCAGCCATGCCCGCTGAGTTTCTTGCCTCCAACCCTCCCCCGCTCTGGCTCACTCTCTACCACCTAGTCACCCGCCTCCCTGACACTCTGCGTACAGTCAGGGACCACTTCCTAGCTCGCTGCCCCACTGAGCTCACCATTACCGTCCTAGAGAAGGAACTACTTGCAGCTGAGAAGAGTATTGTAGCTGTAGGTGCCTCTCGTGGCGACCCCCGCACCCCTTTCTTCGAGGGGTGTTCCCCCTCCCCCCTGCTCCCCTCTGTCGCCTCTGCTGCTGCTGTCGACCTCCTTGGTGCTGAGCAGGTCGGCTCTGCGTCCGCTCCCAGCGGGCGTCGCAGCGGCAAGGGCAGGGGAGGCAAGGGCGGTGGGGGTGACGGCGGGGGAGGCGGTGGTGGGGGTGGTGGCGGCGGTGGGGGTGGTGGCGGGGCTGGAGGGGCTAGTGGCAGCGGTGGGAGTGGTGGAGGCAGCGGCGGCGGCGGTGGCCGGGGTGGGGGAGGTGGTGGTGGCGGCAGTGGACGTGGAGGCGGCAGGGGCGGTGGTGGTCGTGGTGGAGGCGGCGGTGGTGGTCGTGGAGGCTCTGGCACTGGCCAGAACGCGCAGCACCCTCAGTCCTCCCAGGAGCTTCGTGAGTGGTACTTACAGCACGGGGGGTGGGGGGGGTAGCCTTAGCTGCACGTACGTCATCCGCACTGGTCGCCGCAAGGGACAGACGTGCGGGAGGGCGCACACTGCGCAGCGCTGCTTCTCTCGCCTAGATGACGCGTGGCATGCTCAGTTTCCTGACACTCCTGAGCTCCCTCAGTGGGCTGATCTCCTCAAGAAAGATATCGATATCTATGCTCTTGATTTTGATGTTATTCTCAAAGCCATGTATGCATTGACTATTAGTGGAGAGGAGGACCAGTACCTGTGTGTTCCGCCTGACCCAGGCATCCGCAGAGTGAGGCTGCCGCCCTAGGTGCTTGCGTGTCTGCTGCCCCAGGTGCTAGTGCGGCTACTGCTCTAGGTGCTTGTGTGTCCGCCACCCCAGGTACTACTGAGTCCACTGAGGCACTGCACACCTTCACTCTAGACTCAGGCGCTTCGCGCTGTTTCTTTCGTGACCGCACTGCTCTTGAGCCCCTTGCTCGACCAGTCGCTGTCTCGCTCGCTGACCCCTCTGGGGGTCCGGTCATTGCGACCTCCTCCACTGTCCTTCCTTGTCCTGCTGTCCCGTCGGGCACACTGTCAGGTCTCCACCTCCCCTCGTTCTCTACGAACTTGGTGGCAGGTTGTGCGCTTCAGGATGGGGGTATTCATCAGTTCACCCCTGCCTACGAGCGCGTGACACACTGCACGTGTGCTCGGACGGGCCTTCACCTGGCTACCTTCACTCGGCAGCCGGGGTCGGACCTGTACACACTGACCACTGAGTCCCCTCAGGTAGCGGCGTCTGCGTCTGCGTCTGCGTCAGG